AGAGAGAGAGAGAGAGAGAGAGAGAGAGAGAGAGAGAGAGAGAGAGAGAGAGAGAGAGAGAGAGAGAGAGAGAGAGAGAGAGATGGCGGGAGGGAGGAAGGGCCGTTTGCTATGGTTCCTTTTTTTTTCTTTCCCCCCCCCCCCATCGAACTACTGTGCCTTTGTCAGCAAAATATTATGTTTCCACTTTCCCGTTTCTCCCCATCTTTTGAAACTTTCCCTTTTGTTAGCTTTAGGCCGAGTTGCGTTCTTTTTTTTTTTGGTTTTGATGGAACTGTATAAGTTATGTCACTGTTTGGATGAAATTTGCATTGGGGTTTAGATACATGGATGAAATTTCTATTGCTGTCTTCGATTACTTGCTCTTCTCAGTTTGCACACGTGGGATGTTTTGCGCCCTCCAGGTTGGCCGTCGCTGTACATTGCACATGGCGAAGGAGGTGTCTGCAATATAGACTCTGTTTGGAAACAACCACATAAAGCAGAGAAGCGACTCTTCTTCCCTCACACAACCCTGCAAAGAACCATGCACAGCCGTACATAGAAGCCCTCATGCTCCAGAAACTCAATACGGAACCTTTTTTATTATCTTCGTCTTTGCCCAGGCTGGGACCACTCCCTGTCATTCAGCTGCGAAAGAGCTTAGAACTGACAGAAAATGACTGCACCGAAAAACATGCAAAACAACGGAAGCGATCGCCAGCCTGACACCGTGGGCAATCATGTTTTGGCTGATGCTGCACAGCTCCTCAATCAATCCAATGCACCTGATTGTGCCGCGGGTCGTCTCGACATGACAAACCAATGCGTGCTTACTGCCACTATCTGCCACTATCACACCGCCTCCACTCAAAGCTGAAAAAGAAGTCCGCCCATCCTCTCCTCTTCTCCCCCTTTAAGTCCAAAGAACTGATTGGGTTGACGCACAGACAAAAACAATGTAAACTTCAACCTTCCTGCTCATACAGTCGAACATGGACACAGGTACCGACTAACATTCCTTGGACAAAGGATAACAACTCGGAAGTCTCCACGTTTTGCAGCAGTCTACACTCACGTGCCATCATCTCACCCACTCCCTCCACTTCGCATGATGAACAGAGAGAGTGCAGGAGGATGGCAAACAAACGTCATTATATGAGAAAAACTGCTGCATGTGCACATGAAGCAATGCCACGGCTGCTACGAGATGCACTTACCTTTGATGCGACGGCTGTGCCTGTCCACCTGGACAATACCACAGTCTGCACAACAGACCTACCTCGACCGCCTGATCAATGCGACATCAATGACCCATCGACGCCGGAAACCATTCACAACAGCCCTACGCTGTGTGCAAGCGTAACACCATCACTTGCCAACCTCTCCCCGACTCCCGCCATTGCTAATGATGAGCAGAGGGAGCGACGGAGGATGGCCAACAAACGTTATTATGAAAGAAAATGTGATGCGCGTGCGAATGAGGCAAGGCAACGGGAGTTGCTAGATACACAATTCGGCAGTTGCTAGATACACAATTCTTGCCTCCACAACAACTCCTCCACACTCCTCCGCGAGAATCTGTTCCAGTTTCTGTGGAATCGACGCCTCCTGTTATGTCTGCCCTTCATACACCCTCAGGCCATGCTTCCCACCCTGTACTCGTTGAACAGACTTATGGGTCTATGGTCCTTCCATCTTTGCAAGTGTCACAAGTTGCATGCACGCTCGTGCCTGTCCCATCGACCCCCGCTGTTCAGCATGAACTGAATTGCAGCAAAACAGGCCCCCCGACCCCTCTCCCCCACCCCCCTTCCCTGACCACACCCCTCTTAATGCCATGCAACTTCTTTTCCTTTGCGAGCAAAGCCGCAACAGTCCATGTAGTGTTGGGTTAAACTGTTAAGCCCTGTGACAGGAGGCTAGGGTTGGGGGTTGCCGGTTAGTTTGGCCTACTGCCCCCCTAAGACTGCTGCCCCAAGTAGGCCCGACCTCGTGACAGGAGTCTAGGGTTGGGCAAAAGAGAGGCTTGCCAAAAAATGGGTCTGGGGGTAATTGTGGCGTTAAAGTCACCCTTCGGTCTGGGCAATCTGGACGGAGACACTAGGAACAGACACGTCCAAAAGGTTCGATACAAAGCAAGGACAACTATTGTGGGGTTGGGTGGGCACCCCGGAGGGGTTGGGCACCTTGAAGGGGCTCGCACCTTGGAGGGGCTGGACACCTCAGGGGGATTGGGCACCTTGGAGGGGTTGAGCCAAAGAGAGGCTTTCCACAATTTCTACAGCTGTTGAGGCCATTTATGGAGGGAGACAAGCAGAGCATTTCATGAAACAGCGTACAAGAGACACGGATCTGCTTGGAGATGGAAGAACACACAAGCTGCTGTAGGAATGTGACTGGGCAAAATGTCATGGTTCGAGCGGGGTCTGTTTTTTTGGCTTGTCCTCCGTACCAGCACACTTTGCGTTTCTGTCCCTCCGTG